TCTCTTGTTCCAAATGCTCCCTCCATCTATCAAGGGAAGTGCACTTAGACTTGTGTGAGTTACTTGGCTCAAGTAGGTGCCGACTCCTGGACCTTATCTAAGTGTTTTAGTGTGCTTACCACATCATTAACTATGAATATTCATAGGGCTTTTTAGGGGAGTGATATTAGGCAATGGTTCTATAGTAATATAATGAAACAATTTTCAAAATGTATGTAGCACTATTTGTTTAACATCAATTTTTAAAGATATATTCTTTTCATTCCAATCGACAAAACTTTTTTTTTTCTCAAAACAAAGCTTTAGCTAAATTAATATCTTTCCATTTCAGTGAGAAACTTAGATCTAGGCCTTAGAAGGCTTTTTTTCCTTTCTAAATCTTTTAGATAGCTTTATTACTATTAAATTAACAAAGATAAAAAAGAAAAACTAATTTTGAATTCGTGAAGGCCTAGATCTTGATATTTACTAGATGAATGATCTATATATATTGTTGAAAGGAATTAGTTTTGACCATATCTAAGGTACGAATTAAATTTTATTTTTTTACAAACGATTATTAGGATGAAAACAGGGTATACACAAATTTTGACTGCATATAAAAACCATATTGTGCTCTAAAAACATAGTTCCATTATATTACAATGATATGGTGGCATGAAATTTAATTTATCAAACCAACTTGGTTTTGGAAAAGGTAAGCCTTACTAAAATGGCTACCCTTACTATGGAGGTAAGTCTCATTTTGTAAAATTTGTGATATTTTAATTTCTCGAATCAACATGGTTTTGGCGTGCTCACTACGAAAAAACTTGGTTTAGCTAAAAAGCCAGTCAACGACACTTTGGCACTATATAAGTTTGCCACCGAATTAGCAACGAACGGCAATGGGCCGGGCGGCCCGTACAAAAGTACGACCTGGGCCACAAACTATGCCTTGGGCTCATAGTTAGCAAATCGCCAATTAATCAAAGTTTTTATGGAAGCAATTTTAAACGGAGACTTTTTTAAAAGGTCTGAAAAAATCGCCTACTTTTCATAAAAACGTTTAAAACATTTTTTTTTTTTTATAATAGGATTTAAATCAGGCCAAAAAATCGTATTTATTTTTACTTATAATTTTTTTTTAAAGATATTTTTTTTTCGTGCTTTGTGTATTGCAGCCATTGCTACTTTCATGCTTTTAAAAAAAAAATTTATTTCAAAAAAAAACCTAAAATAAAAATTTTTATCCCCACTCTATTCTTCAAAGCCACAGTTGCAAGATTGAAGGTGAATTTTTTTTTCCCTTTTTTTAAAAAAAACTTAAACAAATAGATGCAGATTTTAGTGTTATTATGGAAAATCATTGTGTAAATGAAATACTATTTATAGCAAATCATTTTGTAAAGCAAATCATTGTGCAAAGAAAATCATATACATGCAAATTTATGTGATTATTTGTGATCATTGTTTTTATGAAAATATTGTTTATGGCACAAACTAGAGCTCAAAACATAGTATGTTACTTATGAATGAGAAGCAAGAGAGTGTGACTACAGGACCAAGCAATCAATATTTTAATGTTGATTATGTGATAACAAATATAAACAATATAGTGTAAATTGTAAATTTATAGGAGCAAGCAATTGTACATATAGGATTAGTCCCCAAACCTAATCTTTCAACCCTGCTTGCTATTTCCCCAAGAAAATGGAAAATCCTCTTTTTTTCTCTCTCTCCAAAAATTAGTTAAGGCTTCTTGACATATCAGTAGTTAGGGCTTTCTCTCAAACAACATCCTAAATAAGAGAGAAAAGCCATCATCAAACTATCACAAATCAGCATCCCATCTTCCTTTCCTCTTTCTAAAAATCAGTTAGGGCCTCTTCTATTAAGGTTTGTGAAACCCATGACCTCTTCCCTCTTCCTTCTTTCTTCTTCTCTCTATAAACCCTAGCTATGAGCCCAACCCTATTTTAGTCTCTACCTATTTCTTCCTCTTCTCTCTAAACTGTAACCTTCTTCTCTCTCTCTTCCTTCTTCCTCGTCTCTCTAAACCGTAAACACAAAGCTCTGAAACCTAAATTTCTACGGGCCTCTTTTTAATTAAAGAAATTAATAAAATTTTAACCATAGTTATGGTGTGACCATAGTCACCATACTATAGTTAAATCCTTAAAATGAGAAAACAAAAATCGTGTTTTTTTTTTTTATACCTGCCAAGTACGTGTGATGTTTAAGTATTTCATGAATAAATTTATATAGTATATTTGTCACCATACTATAGTTAAAGTACTTAATGGATAAATTTATATGGTATATTTGTTTTTGGTATGTAATGGGTAGATTTATATAGTACAATTTTTTTTGGTATATACTAATTAATTATGTATTTAATATTGGATGATTGCATCAGAGTCACGAGACATCTAAATTAATTGACTTAATTATATTAATCTAGTAAAGTTTTTATGAATGAATTAATTATCGATGCCTTTGACATAATTTTTTTTTTTTAGAATTTCAAATTTTCTAATATTATAAATTTATCTGATTTTTTAGCCTAATCCAATATATTAACGATATCTTTATATGAAGTATTTCTGTCGATCGGTATTTTTTACCCGATATTTTCATCCGACTTTTTAAAATAACCAATTTTATTGTGAGCTGATTTATTGATAGCCCCCGATTTGGTAACTATGCTTGGGCTAGGGCAGTGTTGGCGGCTCCGGCCCAACCCTATAGGGATAAGGGCAAGACCCAGCCAAGGAAGGATTGGCCCATTGCCATTCTTATTTAACGTTAAACAGGCCTATAAACGCAATCGGCTCATGAAGATCAGCCACACTAACTTTAAAGCGTACCACCGGATGAGGTTTTTATAAAGCCTAGGTTTTAGGAAAACAAAATAAAGCCTCACCCCAAATCATCATCCGAAAAGTTTTTTGGGCGACGTATTTCACTATGATGGCTCCAAAATCAATTTCAAACACTGACAATAAATTTAAAACTCAAAACATTATACAATCTTATGGATTTCTGAACACTTATTTTTAAGGTAAAATGAACGGTCTAGAAAATTTGTTATAATTATCTAGAATTTGTAAAATGGAGGGACTTCTCATTTTAATTTCTCAAATCAACATGGTTTTAGCAGAGTCACTACATAAAAACTTAGTTTAGCTATGAAGCGAGTCAACAAGAATTTGGCACTATATGAGTGGGCCACGAATGAGTAAGGACCAGCAATGGCTGAGCAGCCACTAGAAAAAATAGGACTTGGGCTACAAAATATGCATAGGGGTAGGGCAGTATTGGCCGAACCCTATGGGTATAAGAGGAAGACCAAGGCCAAAGAAGCTCGGCCCATTGCTATTCTTATTTAACATTAATCCAGCATACAAGCTCAATCGGCTCATGAATACCAACCACAGTAATTTTAAAGGGCAACATTGTTACTTTAAAGGCCTAGACTTTATGAAAACAAAATAAAGCCGCACACCAAATCCTCGTCTGGAGAGTTTTTCCTGCTGAGTAAATCTTTATGACGATTAAGACAACATCAATTTCATACATAACTATAACTTGATTGCCTATAGTGCTGGGTAGATAATTGAAAACGTTTGTGACACTACTGACATTATTTGTGATAAAAAAAATGGGGTAATTATTAAAATATACTTTCTTTTTTAAAATAAAAAAATACCCAAATTTTTCTAAAACTACATCCATACCCATTCTTCCGTACTCCTTATTTCTTTTCCAAAATACTTTACATGTTTTATGGTTTTACTAGAATTGTGATACGAGATATCACAGTTCTAATAAAACCGTGATACTTATTAGTTCATCTTCCTATGGTCTCTCTCTCATACACACATACATAACGGCTCTCTCTCTCTCACAGACAAGCTTCTTGCTCTCTATCTCTAGTACGAGGCTCTCTCCCTCTCCCTATCTCTTTCCCTCTCTAACAAGACCAAATCTCTTACCTCCTAGCCACTTCTTGGAATCGGAAAGCATCAGGGTCCATTGAGATGCATCATGGCACTGTTAGTGTCGTCAAGATGCACCATGGCTCTAACAAGGCCATGATGGTCAAAGCACCACCATCATCATGCACTGCAATGAGATCCAAATTGAAAGTGATCTAGCTTTCTTCATCTAAATCCTCTTTTCCAATTTGAATGAGATCCAATCTAATCTCTTTTATCCAAAACTACAGATGCAAGTGTGATGATATCTGTATAATTAAAATGAACAATCGAGACAAAAAAAAGGAACAAAATAGCCTTTGTAAGGCAGAACTTTCGTTCTTTTTTTCTGTTTTTCCAAAATCCATGATCAGGTTGTCTAGATGATAGAACTCAAGGATACTAGATATAAAAATCCACCCCAAAGATGATTTTTTTTTTTTTCTTTTATTGGTTGGAAGGTTGGGGGACCTGCAGTAAAATCATGTCCGTGATGGACACAAGACACACCTAAACCCTACCCTTATCAAATTGTTTGGTCATGTGCAGCGCAGACCCAATACAACACCTGTTGGGAGATACGAGTTGTTCAAGCGGAAGGCTAAATAAAAAAAGCAAGGCTTGGCCCAAAAGGATACAATTGGAATTAATGAAAAAATATGTAGAACTTATAGCCTCAATGAGAGTATGAATCATAGAGCAGAATGATATACCAAAAGGCATAGAGCCAAACCCAAATAGATGGAAAAAGGCTTTGATGATGATGATAATGATAGACCTCACCAAGCCTCTAGTCATTTTAAAAAGAATGGGAAGTAGGAGAGAAAAATGTGTTCAGCATGAAAATAAAAAAACACAAGTACCGTGCAAAAAATTGGCTTTTAAGCCTAGTACCATGTGTGTGCATGTGTTGGAGTCCTCTATCACAAATCAAATACAAATGATTGCTGGTACAAAATGCTATTAAGTGTAATGAAAAAAGCAGATCTACTCAAAATCAGACAATTATTATACAAATGGTAATACCTAGATGTCCAAGACTCATAAGTTCATTTTAAAACTGGACTGAAGCCTCAATGAGAGATTTTGATTGTGTATAGCCCTCTTCCTTTTAATGTGGCAGTCTACTACATATGCCTTGAGATAATCTTCAACGTTCATAGTCTGATAAATAGGTACTGTAACTTCACCTTCCAATCTCTCTATTGGACCCAGTCCTTTGTTGGGTGCCATCGAATAAAAATTTGCCATTGAAATCCGTGGCTTCTCCTTATTCGTCACGGCTCTGTGCACCGCACTCTTGAATATCCCATTGGTCATTATCTATTTCACACCAGATATTCATGGATGGAAGAACACTATACCTAGAACATATTTGCCTTCAAATGGTATGAGTTTGTTTGGCTTTCAATCCTTGAACTATAGGGTTTTGTGTTTGCATTTTTAGTTCTAACGTACGCTTAATCACAACGACAAATCCACTTTCTTGCAAATTGTAACGAAAAAGACAATTCTCTGTCAAAGTACAAAATAAAATGAAAATGAAAAAATATTATGAATTGTCGACTGTATTTCCTATGCAATCTCCTTAAATTTAATAAAATTCTTGTTAACAGTTAAAAACATGAATTCATATCCTTATGAGACTCCCTCTCCATAATCATAATTCTCTTTCTTTCACTCTGAACTCATATTTTTCATGATTTACTATCTTTATATGACTTCTCTTGTTCCATTTATCCAAATCTAAGTTCTTATTTAGGATATCTGATATCCATCTTTTCAAACAATATCAGCTCCAAAAGTAAAACACAAGATGCTATGTTTTTAAAAGTCACAGAGAGAACATTAGTTTGTCTTTGGACCATGATAAAATGTTAAAAAAGCAAAACAATAAATGTATCATGCTCCCTAGGGGATGCAAAAGTCATTAACCAAGAAGCAAATGTTCATTTTAAAAAAGGTGCGGTTTGTATAGTATAGAGCCGAGGCTCTAAACAATCAAATTAGAGCCCACCTTCAAATAGTATCGAGAAATATGGTTTCAATGCAGGAAATCTTTGACTAGCCTTAAAATATATTTTCATATTTAATTATAAAATTTAAAGCTTAAAAAATAGTGTTAATTGAGCGGATCTATGAAAACTTGAATAACTTAAAACTTGACGATCCAAAAATGCATTACAAGATGCACTATTTTCAAAACTCGAAATCCATTTTTTTCTCAAGTCCATGCATGTTGATGTCGAGATGATCAATTTAAAGGTACTTGGGTCATCAAAAAAAACATCTTCTAATGAAATTTTTGAGGTAGGCTCTAATTTGATTGTTTAGAGCCTAGGCACTGTTTAAACCTTTCCCCTTTTAAAAATGGAAAATCATAGCCTTAAATCAGTGTGGTAGGTTTCCTACACAAGACTATAGCTTTACAGGACTTACACACCTACCAAGTCCAGAAGAATTAACTGTAATTCATCCCAAAAACTTTTACCTACCTCCATTTGATCACCAATGTTCACAAGCAGAGCATGAGGAAAGGCAGGTACTTGGTGCCATGTCTCATCCTTGAGGACTTGTAGACCTAGTATGTTAGTATCTGGTAAGAGAACAGTGATGCCACTCCTATCTGAGTGGGGCCTGAAACCAAGGACTTGCTCGGACCTTGGGCACGGAGGGTAGAAATTGCAACTCGAAGCCATGATGGCCTCATCATCTAAACGATCAGTGAAAAAATCATCTCTCAATCCAACTAGCTCTGCAAGGACCCTAAGTGTCTGGTTTGCAAACTCCTTCATTTTCAACCTAAATTCATCCAAGCTCTCCCTGCAACACCATCTGCCGACTGTTAAACACACACACAGACAACAAAAAGAAAAAGAGAGCATGAAGCTTAATCTTTATTTTTTACTTTTTTAGTTTTTTTTAATCACACCAATAGACATTTTGGATGCCCAGTAAATTTATCCATTTATCGAACAAAACTATGGCTTCTTTGGTATAAATCATGTTTCATGAATGTGCCTTGAAGATCACTTACATAATTGATGCGTCTAGAAGCTGCATGACATCAAATAAGTACTTGATATGGTTAAATAGTTTATAGATAACTTTTATTGCCCTGATATATGATAATGGGGAGAACTTTATGGGTATCCCCATGAATGTCAACTATGAAGCTCCTCTACCTCAAGAACCACTTACGTGGAGGGTGAGAGATCCAAAAGATTTCGAAACGATATCCTCTCCAAAAAACATCTCCTAAAAATATGAACAGATTCAGAGCTTCAATCTACTCCAAATCTATTTTCACCATCAAATTCGGACCTGCATCATTCATTAGAAAGCGGGTCTATGTGATACAAAACACTTTTTTTTTTAAAAAAATAATGTGAAGTGATTTGGAACTCTTTTGGAGCTCGAAACCAAATCTAATTTAGAGGGGCTCCTCCAAAACACCACTATCCTGGAATTCAATTTCAGTAAATTATGCAATAACAAGTAAAATTGAGTTAAACAAACTTTAATCTGAAGTTCAATTTCAAGAAGGGTATTAAACCAAGAAATACCTTAAAAAAACGTCCAAGATTGGTTTTATACTAGGAATTTAATTCAAGAAACTAAATGGGCAATTATGCAATAACAAAGAAAAAAAGTTGTTCCCCAGCCAGGTATTTTTTTGATCCTGAGCACTGCATGAAATATGCAAGCCTTCCAAGTGAGCTGTTAAGCCTTCCAAGTGAGCTGTTGAGGAGTGAGGACAACCATAGGAAAAACATTGAATTTTGGAAAGTAGACATTACCGAAAACCTGCTGGATTTTCCGGCCAAAACTGGAGTTTTATATGGTTTTCCGGGAAGATTTGGAGGTAGAGGCGATCGATCCAGTCTAGTTTTTGGTCTTGAAACTCTACAGGGTCGTGTGCATACCCTTCTACCCAGTCCTTCTGCTCAACCTCAAGGTTTCGACCCACCTTCATTCTCTCTTGCAATGGTAGCTCAAAGAACTCCTTTCCTAATTTTCTCATCTTATTCATCAAATCCTTAGAAATTCCATGCCCCACAGCCTGCATCCAGTTCCAATTTTAACTAAACTCTCTCTCTCATCAAGGTATTTTGGTTATGGAAGAAAAACTTGTTTTGGTTATTTGAATATAACTCTTAGAACAGTGAGTGATCAAGAAGGAAGCCCCAATCTTTTAAGGCAGCCTTGAGCTTTTGTTTCTCTTGATTCCTTGCTTCTTCCCATGATGAAGATGAAGAAGAAGATGGTGATGAAAAGAGAAGATTCATGTCTATCACAGGTATATTGCAGTCAATGGAGAAGAAAGAGGGTCCATCCTCCTGCTTGCAAAGATAGTTATGGGGGATTTCTTGACTCCCCTTTGCCAATTCTTGCACCATAGCCATGCTGATCATCTCTGCTCTTGCCATGGTTGTTGCAGCAAAACCTTTCTGGATAGAAGCAAAAGTAAGGTAGGATGCTCTACTGGTCTTTTATTGGTTCGTATTATAAGAATAAAAACTTCCTAAGATAATATCTTTTGAAGGAAAAAGTTTGCACCTAAAAAAGCTACTATAGAAGGTTGTTCTTATGCTGCAAATTGCAAAAATCGATGGTCTCGACGTCGAGATTCATAAAAAAAAAAAGAAAAAAAATGATTTTTAGTCTTAAAAAAATTCACCATCTACAACCTATTATCTGGATCGTCAATTTTCAAGATTTTTAATTGTTTATTGATTTGTTGATATGGAGCTGTTAAATTTCATATTTAAAAGCAGCAATATATTTTCCTATCGTCGCAAGGTTTCGCGGCATCGAAACTACACTTTATATGTAGTTTGAGATGTACCTTACTTTTATATTGTTAACACCTAATACAAACCTCACCCTTTTTGGAATTATATACCGGTTGGTATAGTTGGCATGTGGGATGAATTTTAAGGTTTTGCCTTTCCTGCTCCTAGGTTGGAGTAGATGGGTAGTATGCCTCCGTGGGAGCATAGCATGTGCGCTCTTTTTCTTTGTTGTTTACCATCGACAACAAAAACATGAAAACTAAATTGGGTAGGCTTTCGTCCGACCAAACCAAGTAAAGTCTCACCTCAAAACTCATTCAAAATCATAGTTTTGATGTCAGAAAACCTACTCATTCAAAATCATAGTTTTGATGTCGGAAAACCTACTCATTCAAAATCATAGTTTTGATGTTGGAAAACTTTCAAATTGATCATCTCGGTCTTTACCATCGTAAAAAAAAATTGAATTATAAGCCCTAAAAATAGTATATAGTCCATTTCAACCTAAAAATAATTGTTTAAGGAAATACGAGATCTGCAATAGTTTTTTAGCTTCAAATTTCATACAAAATTTATTTTAAGGCCATCATGGAGGTTTTCGATGCACAATTACTTTCCAAATGAGGATTTGAGGCTTTACTTTGTTTTCATACATCTTAAAAAAATGATTCTTTATCATTCTTTGTTAACATATAATATGAAAATGTTTTGATAAGGTTGCAACCCTAGCAAAACAAGTACAGCCTCACCTCAAAACTCACCATAGACTGCAATTTTGGTGTCAAAAAACTTTCACATCGATCATCTCGACCTTGATCATTATTATGATTGTGGAAAAAATTAGGATTTCAAGACATAAAAATAGTGTATATTATAACATGATATCTAGACCATCCATTTTGCCCTACAAAATGAGTGTCCACATGTCCGCAAGATCTATACCATTTTTTGAGCTTTAAATTTCATAGTTGGTATTGAAATTGATTTTAGAGAGATAATAGAGATTTCTAATGCCCCCAATGCTTTCTGGATGAAGATTTGAAGTGAGGTTTTACTTTATTTCACTAAAACCTAGGCCTTATAAAAAATGCATCCTATATAATAATGATGAATAATATTCCTAATCTAAAAAAGTAGTCCAAAAAATTATATTATATTATGCAACATATTTTTCGAAAAAATTCATATAAGTCTTCATAAATTTTTAGAACTTCAAGTACCACAGTTACTAGTTAGGTTGGTTGAATCGGTTTACCGATTGAACCGCTTCCAACCTCATGCCCGGTTAACCATTCTAGTTCGATTTTTCCTATAGTGGTTGCATGCATGTTATTTCTTGGTGTTTCTAAGCTTTGTTTTCTGAATGTGGTCCACAGTGACAAATGCTTGAAAAAGCTCTCAACTTGTCAATGAAGTCTCACAATCAAAAGTTGAGATCCACAAATTCATTGGAAATGGGGGAATCATATAGCTGTGGCGCCCATTAATATTGTTCAGAAACCTACAGTTCCTTATTAATTTCTAGGGTTTGCTAGAAGTAGCAATAATAAAAATATATAATCGGAACGAATTCATAAGATGGTGAATCTGGTGGTCATCCTATTGAATGTGCGAAAGATGCTATGCTGGGTTTGCTACAATTTCCTAGCATTCTCTAAACCGTCAGATGCCAACAGTAGAAGGTTAGGGTGCGTTCCTCCACTCAAACTCCTTCAAACATTACATAAAACCCTTTGATAATTACTTCGAAACATTTAAAGCTGAATATGATGAAATGACGCCAGTTCAAGTAAAAGACTCAAAAAAAAGAAGAGGCAGGTCCAAAAAGAGATGGTTAGAAGTTGTTAGAAAAAATATAAAGACTCGTGGCCTCACGAAAGATATAACCCGTGATAGAGCAAAATTATGAATTAGGATCCATATAGCTAAACCCCAAATAATTGAACAAAGGTTGATGATGAAATGATAATATTATTCTCATATAATATTCAAAAGTGCCTTAACACGTGGCATCATACGTTTTTTTTAATTTTTGTTTACTTATTTGTCCTTGCTCTTTTTTTTTTCGGTTTAACTTAACTCCTCCAATGCCCCTTGATCTTGGGTAAACTAAATGAGATGCGATCGCTTCTCAGATCCATTAATACAAATAA